AAAAGTAAGAAGGGTTGAAGGTATTACCTTATTTCATATGGGATGATGATTGGAACTTCAAAAATTTGTCTAGATGATGAAGAAGGAGGAGAATTCGGCTGGAAATGGAGAGGGAAAAGTAGATGATCTTCAATATGACCTTTGGGTTTAAGGAGAGAGAGAAGAGAGAGTTTTGGTAAATTGAAATGAGAGTAATGAGGATTAAAGGGAAAATGAAAGTATTTATATGTGGRTTTAGGGAGGGAAATGGGGGGAGGATGGCCAGCCATAAGGGCCCAAGCCCACCCTCACAATTTTTTTTTTATAAAAGAAAGCCCAAAAATGCACAAAAGGCCATTTTCTCAATTTTGACATTTTTTTCTACACTTTAAAAGCCCACGATGACAAAATTTATTTAAATAGAAATGTTTTATATTTAAAACACTGAAACTTAGTGTTTTATATAAATTGGGTATAAATTAGAGCATTTGGTACTGTATAGGACATTTCGGATAACTTCGGACCGGAACCGGACTTTCTAAGCAACTACCGGAWWTTCTTAAAATTTCTCAACTAAAYTAATCTAACTAACTCCTAATCTATAAATTAACTTCAATAACACTAATATATTCTTAATAATAGCTAACCTGGGATTTCGAATTTGACTGTTGTCACAGTTTGACAGTCTGATCCAATTGGATTCGGTCGAGCTATATTAATGAGTTTGAGTGGACCACTTGTCGTTTACTGGATCTAGTCAAGCTCATTTAATGGGCATGTCTGGAGTAGTTGATGTCGATCCCTACTAAAACTAGTTATGCCTATTTTTTTTACTCAATAACCTTAAAAACTATAAGAGGTCGTAGAAGTACATCAAACATTTATCGGGTAATTATTTACCAACAAGGGTCACTAGTCTCACAGACCTTAACACGTAACATTTTCGACTATCAAAATAGATTGTTGGCGAACGTCTTTTATGCGGTAAGTATTTACTGGATAAATTTATCAGTCCTTGCTATGATTTTTAGCATATAATATTCTCAGTTTTTACCATGCTCAACCGGTAAGGTAAGTGACACGTGGTAAGCACTTACTTTGTAAGTATTTGATAAATAGCACTTAAGTCTGAACCTGCTGGACCCCGTTCGATTCTACTGATCCGTCGAGCTATATTAATAAGCATGACTTGACACAGTTCAATCCTACTGCAGAGGCGAACATAATAACTTTTTCAAGTATTAGTATATTTTTTTACTATAAGAAACAAATATATGAATATTTTTTTTACAAAATTATTACTGGTTTGTTAGTTGTTTCCTTGCTTGTCATACATGAGGTCTTAGCGTCTTTTATTTTATTTTTTTTCAAAAGCATAATAAACTAAGGGGGTATTTGGGATTGCTTATTTAATACAACTTATGCAGTTTTGTAAAAGTGCTTATCAACCTATGTGGTGTCAAACCGGAGTTTTATAAAAGTGTCTGGATTAGCTTATGGCAGTACCAAAACGTGATAAGTTGATATATATATATATATATTCATTCAAACACTAAAAACTTCTTATTACCGGTACCAAATCGGAATAAGTTAATAAGCTAGAAGCAAGTAAGAACATCTCCAACAGTTTCTCCAAAATGGAGAAAATATGAGAGAGATGAATGTTTCTTCAAATACCCACCACTATGAAAGTTTGAAAATAAATACTTCGAGAGATGAATAATATTTTAATAGATGAATGAAATATTTTAATGTATAATCAATGTTGGATTCTTTAAAATAGGAAATCTGTTGGAGATGAATGTAATTTATTTTGGAGATTTTGACTTTTTGAAGAAATTTTGGAGAATCTGTTGGAAATGCTCTAACTTATCAAAAACTCCTTATTACCGATGTCAAACCGGTATAAGTATATATATATTTTTCCATCCAAACGCTAAAAACTAATTATACCGGTACCATACTGGATTAAGTTAATAAGCACTTTAAATAAGCAATCCCAAAGACCTCCTAAGAAAATGATATAAGTGGGAGTTGGACCCGCACTCGGGAGGAAAAAAGGGTTCAAACCAATCATAGAAAAATACGGGATGGTTTAGGGGTTGTTTGGTAGTAGTTGGTTTGGTGCAGAATGATTAAGTGGTCAGAATGATTAATAGCCTCTTATGATATAGTGCAAAATGAAACATAATTATTTTATAATTGTTTACAATGAAATTAGGGTGTTGAATGGTTAAGGGAGACTCATGATGCAAAATCATTAAAATGATTTTATAATCATTAAGAGGCAGACTTTTTTTTTTGTCAAACAAGATTCATTTATTAGCCATTCAAAGACTGTTTCTTAATGGAATCGATAAGTCATTTTGCAAAACAAACCTTTTTAGAAGGCCATTGACTTAGTGTGCAAAATTATCCAAAAAACAGTGCATATTTTGTAAAACCGGAAACTTTGGTGTCCAAAGTAGAATAAGTTGCATAGATTAGTGGCCAAAATTGAAAATCGAGAACGTGTGGTGCCACCGTAGAAGAACCGCGTAAAGTTGGAAAAGTCGACAGATGATGCCAGTGAAGCTAAACAACGCGTAAAGACCCCCAAATTTCTTCTCCATAGATTCAATTCCACAAATCTTGATTGAATTTTCAATCAGAAATCATCGAACCCTAACGATGTCGATTCAAATTACACATCTTCTCGTTTTCCTCTCCATCGCAATCGCCGTCGTCTCCGCTTTCTCCCCCGCCGATCACTACCTCATTGACTGCGGCACTGCCGAATCCACCACCACGGTTGACCTAGACCACCGGAGCTTTACCGGAGACGGATCATCTTCGATTCTTTCAGCAACCAGATCAGTGGCGTCGAGAAATTCGAATGCGAATCCCAATTTGTCACCAATTTATCACACTGCTAGGGTTTTCATGAAACCGTCAGATTACAAGTTCAAAATCAAGGAAAAAGGGACGCATTTGGTACGTATTCATTTTCAGAGATTCAATTTTCAGAATATTGGTAGTGTATGTCATGATCAATTTCATGTTTCTGCTAATGGATATGTGTTGTTACACAATTTCTCTGCTCCAAAACGGAACCCTAGTATTAAGGATTTTTTGATCTCGATTGATGATGATGAGCTTGTGATTAGGTTTATTCCGGTAGATAAATCTAGTTTTGCGTTCGTTAACGCAATTGAGGTCATTTCTGCTCCTAAAGATTTGATTCCTGATAATCAAAGTGACGGAGTTAATATGAAACATGCATTTGAAACTGTTTATAGAATTAATGTTGGTGGTGTTAAAGTAACCCCTTTCAATGATTCTTTATGGCGAAATTGGGTTCCTGATGATGAGTTCTTGAAATCTGGTGACGATTCCGTGAAAAGTTACAGCAAAATTCACTTTGATGGTCGAATTCAGTACCATTTAGGTGGTGCGAGCCGTGAAGTTGGCCCCGATAACGTTTACAACTCCGCAAGAATCGTTTCTAGTTTGAACGATTCAATCCCGAAACTGAATATAACTTGGCTTTTCCCTGTAAAGAATGGTTTTAGCTATCTTGTGAGATTGCATTTCTGTGATATTGCAAGTATCTCACTTGGAATGATTTATTTCAACGTTTATCTAAACGGGAATTTGGCATACGAGAATCTTGATCTTTCGACCCTTGCAAACTACAAGTTAGCTTCTCCATTTTATGCCGATTTCGTGGTTGATTCCGAGAAGTTTTCTGGTGTTATAAGAGTTGATATTGGTCCTTCAAGTTTAAGTATGCCCCATGCGGTTGATGGTATATTAAACGGTTTGGAGATATGGAAGATGGATAATTCGATGAAAAGTCTCGATGGAGAAGTGTTTGCTGACCAATTGGAGTCGAAGAACCGATCGAATGGTCAAATGGGTCGTTTATTATCATTGACTGCCGCCGTTTGCTTGTTGGCAATCGCGTTTCTCGTTATGCGAAGAAAAACCGAAGCAAAACATTCCACCGGATGGTCACAACTACCCGTTGATATGCCTGAAATTGATCTTAAATCTATCCATCAGAAATCAACTGGGGTCAACGTTTAATTTCAACGAGCGGAAAAGATCGGAATTCGAGGAATAGCTACCGAAATGTGGATAACGACTATAAACAGTAAGTTTTTAAGGCTTCTGATCCATCATAATCGAGTTTTTATTGTAAACTAACTATCGAGTGACGGAAGAATATCGTAGTTTTCAAGAATGAACGGTTTTGGACAAACTTTCCACCGTTTTGTCTGATTCCGTCCTTGCGAAAACTACGTTCTTTCTGGAACGATGGTTTTTTTGCAACGAAGATCCAGTTACGAGATCAAGAAATCAATTCACTTGTTTTCCTTGCAGTATATATATATAAGTTGTTGGTTTGTTAGATTCTTGAACGTTAATATGATGCAAATTTAGGAACCTCATTACATTATGATGTTGTAGTAATTATTCAATTATGCAGACAATGTTTTTATGAAATTATTCAATTGCAAACTTTTTAGGGTTTGATTGGTATACAGACAAGACTGATGGATAAGAGTAAGGTAGGCACATGAAAGAAATTATCGAAGGTTTTAGGGTTTTAATTTGATATGGGTAGTTTAGTAATTTAACAACCTTGTCCATCTTCCTAGTTTTCGTTCTACCGATTTTAGTGGCACGGGAAAAAATGCATTTTGTTAGCCTCAGGTTCTGTCTTGTCCCGGTTTGATGACGTGTCAAATTTGTGACAACAAGTTTTTGTACTTGCAAGTCGAGTCTGACATGCCAAATTCTCTAAATTGGACAATTTGGGGATTTTAAACAAGTTTCTTTGCTTCAACAGATTTTCCAAAATAATATTCAAAATGACGTATATGCCGTTTGAAAAAGGGCAGTACGGTTGGAACTTTTTCTCCGAAAAAATCGCTAATATGCAGTATGATTGGAGATACCCTTTATGTTATTTGGTCGTTGTCACTTACTTTGTTATAGCATTTTGCTAAAGAGTCTGAGGTCTCACCCGTCCGTCACTGGAACACCACTTCCCGTCCTACTTAGTTCATGGTTCGTTAACGTGATTCAAAAGTTATCACCGGAAAAGAAGTCACCCTGAACCATCATGTATGATGGTGGGTACGCTACATAGGTATATGCTTTCTTGCGATATCTAGACCTCGATGTCTTATTGTATTTGGTATCTATTCTGTTCCAGTGTCCAAGAGCGATAACAACACACTTATTTGTAGGGGTGTTATCTCAGTCAGTTAAGTCGGTTTTCGATATATGCAGCATATATGCCATTAGACCTAAATATCCGTATTGATACGGTGTTGATCCTTATACGACTCACATTTACCATCAAGCAACTGGGGATTTTCATAGAAATAGTCGTTGTACTCTCTCTGGTAAAAGATAGGGGGTGTTTGGGATCGCTTATTTGAAATGACTTATTCTTTTCTACAAAAGCACTTATCAACTTATTATAAGTCAGAAGAGCTTAACTTCTTCAAAAACTCCTTATTACCGGTTTGACACCGGTATAAGTTGTTTATCCAAACACTCAAAAGTGCTTATTACCGGTGTCACACCGGAATAAGTCAATAAGTTGTTTTTATAAGCAATCTCAAACACCCTCATAGACTTGTATACATCTAATCTTGTAGTAACCTATCTTTGGTACTATCAAACAACTAAGGATTTCCAAAGAAATACCTGTTATACTCTTTGCGGCGAATGATAGATCTGTATACATCTAATCTTTCAGTTCCCATCTCCGATAGATTATACTGGGTTGGTTTCGTTTAATGTGTCTCGGTGTCGGTGGTTAGACTTCAAAATTGGGTTTTCAATGGTTGGGCTCATAGATATTGGGCCTTAAGTAAAATAGCCCATATTATTATTTTTATTAACCATCAATTTAAGTATTCAACATATAATATTGGATAAATTACATAAAAAAATAACCTACTTTAACTTGATTCTTATTTTGGGTAATGTACTTTTAAAACTTCCATTTTTGCACCTAAGATGTAAAGTTTTAAACATTTAAGTATGCTTCAACCGGTTATTATGCTGATATGGCGAGTGCCGGGATGAAATTGGGTTGAATAACAAATAATACTGGGTTGGATGCTACATCACTCGCCACATCAGCATGGTAATCGGTTAATGCTTCAACTAGTTACTCGGATACTTAAATATTTAAAATTTTACATCTTAGATACCAAAATGGAAGTTTTGAAAATACGTTACCTGAATCAAGTTAAAATACGTTACTTTTTCATATAATTTGTCCTATAATGTTTTTATTTATACTAATAAATATAAGACAACATAGTTGATAGGATAAAAATAACTTGTTTTAAAGTTAAACGTCTCATTCATGTTCCACCGCTAAAATCAAGACACGTCAAATTTTTTATTTATTTTAAATTTATTTAATTCATGTTTACTTTCTTTCTCTGTTTACATACATTTATATGATTGATGGGCATCTATAAGACATGAAAATTAAGATAGGTGATTTTTATTCAATAAAAACATTTTAAATTATCCGAAAAAATAAAATAATGTTAAAATATTATTTTTCTCAAACAATTTATTTATTTGTCTATACTATATTATAAAACATTTGACAAAAACTCTTAAAACCCATTTTTTATGCATGAAGTATTGTTTATTGATATATATTACTTAAAATTCAAGATTTCAAGTAAATTGTACGTATGTACAACTTATTAAAGCTTCATGTTTGAATTTATGTAACTAAATATAGATAAACATAATTAAATAGAGGATAAACATCTCATTTTAAATATAAAAAATCTAAAATATAATTAGGATAGTTATTGAGTTCTAACAAAATTTTTAATTATCATCTTTATAAAAAATTATATTATTAAACCAAAAATAAAAAAATGAACTAAAGCAATACACAAAAAAAATTTAAATAATTAGCTTGGTACTAATATCAATATTTTTTTTCAAATTTTTTATCATATCATAATATATATATTATTCAAAAATAAAACATTATCACTTTCTCAAAACCATATAAACCTTATTATAACATCGACTAAACAAAAAAAATGAAACATTAAGATCGAGATATATCTTGTTGCATTGTGCAAGTACCCTTCTATCTAGTCTTATATAAAATATTTGTATGTCAATAAAAAATTTATTAATTATATTTTATAAATTCATTTTAAATACGTATAAATCTTTTAAGAGGTGTACATAAATAGGTTCCACCTTAATTAATTAAACTAGAAGGGTACTCGTGCAATGTATCAAGACACATATCGATTTCAGTGTTTCGTTTTATTCTTTTTTTATGTTGATATAATACATTTTTATATGGTTTTGAGAACACGATAATATTTTTATTTTTTAATAAAATATAAATTTGAAAATATCATAAAATTTTGAAATATATATATTGATACTAGTATCAATTTAATCTTTTTAAAAATTCTTGTTTTTGGTGTAATTCCCTTAATTCAAATTTTTTAATTATAATTTAATTTAAGTTTAATAACATAATTTTTTATAAAGATAATAACTAAATATTTTGTTAGAACTCAATGATTATACTAATTATATTTTAGATCTTTTATATTTAAAATAAGATGTTTATCCAATATTTGATTATGTTTATCTAGTTAGTTACACGAATTCAAATACAAAACTTTAATAAGTTGTACTTATGTACAATTTACTTGTAATTTAAATTTTAAGTAATATGCATCAGCAAACAGTACTTTGTGCATAAAAAATGATTTTTAAGAGTTTTTTTTTCAAATGTTTTATAATATAGTATAGATAAGTATGGAAAATTACTCCGTAAAAATAATATAATTAAGTCTTTTACAAATTAATAAATTTGTTTATAGCGTTTTCAATAAATTCTTCAAATTTTCTTTAAACTTGAGAACTAAAAGTTAAAATATCCAAAAAAAAAAACAAAACTTAAGGGGCTGTTTGGTAGTTGCTGAATGGTTTTGTGCAGAATGGTTAAGTGGTCAGAATGGCTAAGAGGGTCAGAATGGTTAAGTGCTGAATGAAATATGATTGTTTGGTAAATGTTCTCTGAATGACAACAAATTACCATTTTACCCCTATATATGATTTAATCCAAACCAAGGCTCTGTTAGCATCCAAATGCATCTTTCATATTTGTTATTGCATCAGAGTGCTTCTTTAATGTTTTTAGCCTTGATTCAACAAGAAATTAGGGTTTCACTCACTTGTGCGATGGTTTCAATCGGTGGTTTCATACAAGAAATTAGGGTTTCTTCTGGATTTTGGATTTGGGTTATGCGATGGTTTCAATCGGTGGTTTCATACAAGAAATTAGGGTTTCACTCACTTTTGGATTTGGGTTATGCGATGGTTTCAATCGGTGGTTTCGACCAGAAAATGAACGGCGACTGTGGTTTCGATCGGCGACTGTGGAAGCGAACGACCACTATGGTTTCGATCGGCGACTTGTGGAAGCGAACGGCGACTGTGGTTTCGATCGGTGGTTTCGATTTTGGGGAAATACCTGAAGCGAACGGCGATTGTGGAAGCAGATGGAGGGAACGACGACCGTGGAAGAAGTGGGATTATCGCAGAAGGAGACGGGGACCGGAGATGGTGACCGGAGATGGCGACCGGAGATGGCGATCGTGGGGGGTGGGAGGCGATGTGAAGGAATGCTGTGTAGAAAGGGAAAATCTGGAAAAGTTTAGATCTGAATGGTTGAGTGAAGGGTTTGACACAAAATGGTTAAGAGGTATATGTAACCATTAAGAGGTTTCATATTTTGTGCCAAACGCTCCAAACCTCTGACCGATTAAGAGGCTCCCTCTTAATGTCACCATTAAGAGGGAAACAAACAGCCCCTAGGATATCCAACCCGCTATGCGATCCGATTAATCTTAGGACGACCACCAGCTTCGCAGGTAACTCAGAGTCACCACATTTGAACCTCTGTAGCCAGAAGGGGATTTTTATTTCTCTTAAGGTGATATATAATTTTTATAGAATGGATTTCTGAATCGAAATTGTTATCAGCAGTTATTGTTTGAAAAGGTAAAAGAGTCGATCATTCAGTCATTTTGTATAATTAAATAATTAATAATTATCAGTAAATGTTAAGATAATTAACAAAATTAATCTATCATGAAAGTTTTCTTCCCTTTCAAAACATTGCTATTTTTAAGTATATATTTATATACAACAAATAAACTCACACACCCTCTTCATCTTTGGTAAAATTTGAACCCCTGACCTTCTTGGAGGGCAAAAACTACGATACCGCTAGGGCAAGCGCCCTTTGACCAAAACTTTGTTGTTAATTAAATATTTATGATTATTGATTTGATTAAAACTGATTAAAACCGATACAATTAAACTTGTAAATAAACAACTGATAAATTTATATTAGAATATAAAAAATTAAAAAATAATAATAATAATCCAATTATGATATTTTTGGTATACGAGAACTAGTACGGTAAAAATGACATTACAACCCAAAAATGGG